AAAACAAAACAAAAAACGAAGTAACACATACATTAAGAGAAAGCAACTGAGGGTCTGGAGTTGTGGCTCAGTGGTAGAGCACTTGCCTGGCATGTGTGAGGTCCTGGGTTCAATTCTCAGCACCGAAAATAAATAAATAAACAAACAAACAAACAAATAAATAAATGATGTATTTACAACCAAAAATTATTAAAAAGAGAGAGAGAGAGAGAGAGAGAGAGAGAGCAACTGAGAATTGTTTTCTAAGGTGAAATGCATTTTATTATTATTTTTAAATGAAAGGCATTTTAGATATACAGTTTGATATTGCTTTTATTCCCAGGTATATGTGGATAGTTTATGAGTAAAGGGAGTAAAAAAGAAGAAAGTAGAGCTAGGGATGTAGCTTAGTGGTAAAGTGCTTGCCTAGCATGCGTGAGGCCCTGGATTCAACTCCCAGTAGTACAAAAAAGAAAGAAGGAAAAGAAAGTGTACAGTATGTAAACAGACAAGACTTAAAAACAATATCAAACTCAGTAGCAACAAGCATCCATGACACTCACACTGTGAACCTAAAATACCATTTCCCACTTAAAAAAAAAAAAAATAGGGCTTCTTGGAGAAATTGGCGTATTCAGGTTTGGTGCAGGAATTGTACTTGGAGGGAAAAGCAACATTCCTACTTTGTGCTAAATAACATAAAGGCAGCCCTACTTTCTTGCCCTTCATTTTTAAGTTGAAGGCTAAAAGTAGGGTGGGAGTATAAGAATTTAAGGAAATAAAAACACCATTGTCCAAAGAGTTCTATTACGTGTAACCCATTCAACTGACCCTTCTGTATCTAGATGCAGGAAAGTGGTTAATAAAACTTCCACTGGTTGGCCTGAGACTGCTGCAAAATTTTATCATAAAAGCACCAGTGATATCTTACTGAACCTACTCCGAAAAGAAAATCAAACTTAAAAAGCTAGATGTATAATAAAACATAAAAACTCTAGAGTCCTTCTGTCACTTCTGAAGAAATGTTCAGAAGAAAGAACATCATATTTAGAATGTTTTAGATAAAAAACAAAAGTGAAATTAATCATTTTGGCAAAACTGACAGTCTGATAATCTATAAAAATCAGACCCACAGAAGGGAAATTGCCATTCACAGTGAAGCCACTCACTGCTCTATATTTCTCAAGTATCTAATAAAGAAACGCCTCTCCTTTCTTCTTCAATGTCTCCAAATAACTACCTTCCATTTCCCTTATTCTCAGCCCAGGTTTCTATAAAAATACTGGCATGGAAAAAATGGTATTTAATAATTTAAGACATTGCACTTATAAACTTTACTATTATTCTTTTTGAACATGTTAACAAATGCATATATAAAAAATCCAATTAAGCCAAAGGAATATACAGTAAAAAAATGACTCTCCCTAACCCCTACACCACAGCTGGCCAGTTCTCTTTCTCAAGTAATCACTGCCACCAATTTCTACATTAATGAACTTTTAATAAATTATTTACATACTGCAGCTAGCTCAGAGGAGTATGCCTCCTTAGTATGCAGGAGGCCCTGGGTTTGTACATGCACGCTCGCACGCGCGTGCACACACATACAAAAAAAGGCAAATGAAGGGGTGGGTTAAAAAAACAAAAAAGGAAACCTTGTTAAAATGAAACTTAATAGAAAAGCAGGGAAGGGGTTAATCATCTTTATAAGCAAAATCAATTTCTGAAAAAACTTTCCTCCCAGGGCTGGCATGTGTAGCTCAGAGGTAGAGCATTTGTCTATCATGTACAAGGCCCTGGGTTTGATCCCCAGAATCACAAAAACAAACATAAAACAACTTTCCTCCTTGTAAATAAAGTTAATTTGACGTGTATCAAACCACTGAAAATGAAGTACAAGAAAACTTCCTGTTACTACTTCATTGTCCTTCAGTCCTAGATGGTGAAAGTAATACACAATTAAAGGAAAACAGAAAATGATAAGAAGCAAGATTCTTCCACCAGTGACTGATGGGCTGGGGGCGGGGAGGAAGAGATGAGAAGAAGAGATAGTATTAAAAAAAAAAAAGCAAATTTTTTTTCTTAGAGTGAATATTTATATGGTGCAATTAGATCATAAACTGTCAACATTTTTCCTAATGATTTGGGGTTACCCTCCTTCCCCAAATAAATCTTCCATATGAAGACAGAGGCAATGTCACCTCTATGCCAACAAGAAAAAGCCAGACCAACCACTGAATCATAACTTGGAATTCACCAGAGGGCTACTTAGGACCACCAAGTAGTAAAAATCCAAATAAAGACAAGCCCCTAAAGGAGATGTGAAGGGTGAGCACTAGCTCTCATGTGTCAGACCATGTGCAAAAGTGATGCAATATCAGCAGGTAGAAAAAGTTCAGCTAACTGAAGAATCCCTGGGATCCACAATTACCCAATGGATTCACACCTAAATTGGATGACTGTCTTCACTAGATGAGTTTTTTAAAAGGCTTGAGGCAGCATGGAAGATCAGAGGGTCTCCATTGGAGCTATAGCCCTGGTGGTGCAGACCTGGAGGAAGCTACCACTAAAAGAAAGACAAGGGGCTGGGGCTGTAGCTCAATGTCAGAGCACTTGCTTAGCATGTGTGAGGCTCTGTTCAGGATCCCCAGGATGAAGTAGGGGGTATACATATTACATAAAGGAAAAAAAGGTAAGATGGGAAGACATAACAATCTAAATGTAGATGTATACGTGTGATAACAGATCTTCAAAAACACAAACCAAAACTGAAAGAACTTATGAATTAAAATACAAAATGACACAGAATTCAATCTTAGAGATCATCAGAACAAGCAAACAGAAGTTTAATAAAGATACAGAAAACCAAACACTTTAACATTAACATTCCAACCAATAATAGCATAATGCATATTATTTTAAGGCTTGCAGGATATTGACCAAATAGAATTTACTGTAGATCACAAAACAAACCTTGACAATTAAAATAAACTAAAATTTCAGTGATATCTTCTGATAGCTATAGAACTAAACTAAAAAATCAATTACAGAAAGCTATCTGAAAACTCGCGGAATGCTACAAATTAAGCAATATCCTTAATAAACCACAGTTCAAAGAGAAATTCACAAGGGAAACTAGGTTTAATTGAATGGAAATAAAAAATACAACATATTAAAATCCATGGGACAGCATGTGATGGCACATGCCTAAAATTCCAGCAGTTCAGGAGGCTGAGGCAGGAGGATCCTGAGTTCAAACCCAGCTTCAGCAACTCAGCAAGAACCTAAAAAACTCAATAAGGCCCTGTGTCTAAATAAAAATGTAAAAGATGGACTACAGATGTGGCTCAGTGGTTAAGCGCCCCAGGATTCAATCCATGGTCCAAAAAAAAGAAAAAAAAATAGGGTCTCTAACCAACCCTATGCAGCCACAGTAAGTAAAATGAGCAAATCAACTCAAAGTAAAAAGAAAGAAGAAAATAATAAAGATATGAGCAGAATTGAAAACAGAAAGACAGTAGAAAAAAATTAATAGAACCCAAAAGCTAAATCTTTAAAAATATCAAGATAATTGATATATCTATATCTAGACTTACCAAGAAAAAGGATACAAATTGTCCATAAGGAAAGAAAGAAGGGTCATAACAATAGGCCCTAGAACATTAAAAAAGATTTTATCTCCATTAATTTGACAACTTAGAGAAAATGAACCAAGGAACTCCTAGAAAGATGCAAATTAGGGCTGAGGAATATAGCTCAATGGTAAAGCACTTGCTTAGCATGCATGATACCCTAGGTTCAATCCCCAATGGATATAAAGGAGGTGAGGGGAGACAAAGATACAAATTACCAAAACTCACTTGACAAGAAATAGAAAACCTAAATAATCCTCCTATTCTCGCTCTTCAACTGGGGACTGAAACCAGGAGCTTGCACATGCTAGGCAAGCACTCAAGTACTGAGGGACATCCCCAGTCCTCTCTCTTTCTTCCTTCCTTTCCTTCCTTCCCTTTTTTCTTTCTTTCCTCCTTTTCTTTCCTCCCTCCCTCCCTTCCTTCCTTCCTTCCTTTCTTTCTTTTAAGAGGGTCTTGCTAAACTGCCCTGATTGGTCTTGAACTGGGTGAGATCCTCCTGACTCAGTCTCCCAAGTAGCTTAGATTATAGCTGTGTGCCACTATACCCAGTTAGTCCTATTATCTCAATGAAATTTAATTCCTAGTTTTAAAAAGTTGACAAAACTAGGCATAGATGGATTAATTGATGAATTCCATCAAACATTAAAAAGAAGAAAACAATATCCATTACATACAAATTATTCTGGAAAACAAAAGAGGGGGGGATACTTTCCCAACTCATTTTATGGAGTCAGCATGACCTCAATTCTAAAGCCTGACAAAGATGTTACCAGACAATGAAAGACCAATATCCCTCATGAATATTGCTGTAAAAATCCTCAACCAAATATTTAGCAAATCTGATTCAGAAATATATAAAAACAGCAAATCTCTTTTAAAGGCTTTAATCCATTTTTTAATCCTGACCTGAAGTGACTCTAAAAACAATAAATGGTGTCTCATACCCATCTAAGATAAATTCTAATTTAAGTACATAATTTTATGTATCTAACTTTACAAGGCTATTTTCAAAGGAAAGGCACAGTAAGGAAATTAAGAAGTAGATTATATAAGAGTTGAAATATCACAGAAGAAACTTTAGAATTAAAGTGATTTATAGGGGCTCAGGAAATAGCTCAACTGGTAGAGTGCTTGACTAGCATGCACAAGCCCCCCCCCCCCAACACACACACACACAAAGTAATTTATAGTCTCATGAACACACACTTAATTAAAAGGTAATGAGTCTGTCTCTCCAGTTTCTAACAAAGAAATTTAAAGAGAAAGTTACTAGCCTATACTAAAAAACTTGAATGAGTTTCCTCAGGGTTTCTAAGATTATGACCCAAATCATAAACTCCAATGTACTTTCTGAACATATATTTTCAGTTTGCCTTAAATACTTACCTTCAATCTGGCTGGTATCTGAGAATGGTTTCTTCTTTGACTCAGAGTTCTCAGTTTTCTCGTCCACATCCAGGAGAGGAATATAGTCTGTTTTTCCAACAGTTTCCCCCACAACATCCTCAAAGGCCTCTGACTCCAGTGTGGCAATGAAGTCCCGCTTTATCTCTTCCTCAATTTCTGGAGGTGGCTCTGTTAATGCATCTGCAAGACTGAGGTCAGCCATTCTGTACTGTTGCAACTGCCTGTTTAAGGGGAAAGAGATACTTCATTTGATGAGCACAGCAAAGGGGAAGATTTTTCTAGACACTCTCATGCCTTGCCTTTTTTTAAAAAAGAGGCATAATCAAAAATTTTACAGGTAGGGCTAGGGTTACGGCTCAGAGGTAGAGCATTTGCCTAGCATGTGTGAGGCACTGGGTTTGATTCTCAGCAACACATATAAATAAATGAATAAAGTAAAGGTCCATCAACATCTAAAAAAAAAAAGAGAGAGAGAGGCTTCCTTATTTGAAAAATGATAAAAGTAACGCAAAAGCATTTTTCCTTTTTTTTTCCGTTTAATAAAATTAAATACCTTTATTTTATTTATTTATTTTATGTGGTGTTGAGGATCTAACTCACTACCTTACATGCCAGGCAAGCACTCTTCCACGGAGCTACAATCCCAGCTCCTTTTTATTAATGTTTTATTAAATACCAAAAAAACCATGTTCCAGAAAAGTTTTTTTAAAAGAATACAAAAAATGGTCAGGTGAGAATATTCCCATAAAATATATTACATTATTATCAGGTGAATGAAAGAGGCTTTCTGACTCAAGACTTGAGTATGGGCCTTTTCTCCGAGTGAGTTCTCCTTCACCAGTCACATGGGATAGCCCCATCCACCAAACCACAACCTTCAGCACTGGCATGAAAAATACAGACATGTCCCTGAATTAGGTAAGGAAGATGGCCACATATATTACTATTTTCATAGAATCCCAAACTCTTAATTTTCAAAGATAATCTGAAGCTAAGAAGTATAATTTATTATAGGAACAACTAAAGATGGCTAGCCTGGAAAATACAAAAATCATGTAGTAAAAAGAGCCCAACAGGGCTGCAATAAACTAAACATTAAGTACTTGCAGAGCACAAACATAATACAGAATACTATTCCTGCTTTCAAAGAGTCTAATTTACTACAAACTCCAAGAGACTCATAAGGATAAGGTGAACTATGAGCCATACTATTGAGTGGGTAAATGTAAGTCAAATAGCAATCCTTAGTTGCATAGTGTAATGATCATTGCTTGTGTTCACCAATAAATTTATTCTTCTGATCTCACCCAATACAAACAAACCAGTCCCCATCCCCACAGGATTAGGGCTAAAACTAAAAGTCTAAAAAAAAACAATTAGAAGAGGACAATTTTGTGACTACACTCTGAAAAGAAGGCTCATTTTGTTCTTTCAAGGAGAAATGAATTTTCTTCCCTTAAATCTTTCTTTTGCTTAATCAGGTAATCTACTTCAGTTGCCTACAACCAATCTCAATGTATGTATCTTGCCCTAAAAAAAAAAAAAATACTAGGGATAGAACCCATGGACAATTTATCACTAAGCTACATCCCCAGTCTTTTTATTTGAGATACAGACTTGCTAGTTTACTTAAAAGTCTCACTGAGTTGCCAAGGCTGGCCTTGAACTTGTGATCCTCCTGCCTCAGCAACCTGAGTCTCTGGGATTACAGGTGTGCACCCACACCCGACTGCTAACCCAAATTTTTAAAAAGTCAAAATGTATTATGATTCAAGCCACCAAATGGTCAGGGTTTCCTTTCAAGCTCTTCTCAACCATCTACCTCTCCACAACAAATGAAGGACACAGTGAGGAATGTAGTCATTCTCTTCAGTCTTGTTCTCACACATCCTGTCCTCCCACTTACACTATCCTTTCTTTGCTAGAAATATAAAAGTCACAGAACTTTTCACTCATTATTCTTTTTTTGTTTGTTTCCACCAAGATGTGTGGCCATCACAATTATAAAACGTGTACAAAGCAAATATTTCTAGAACCCTAAAAAATCAGGGGTCATTCTATCCCCAAAACCCAAATCCAACACCTAAAGGCTTTGCTGTATGTTTCAATGGTCAAAGTATAATGTGGAGAGCCATTTTGACACGTGACTGGGCGGCTCCCGTTAAGGGTCTGAGGCGTTCTGGCTGTGTCGGAACTTTCCCGGCCCTTTCCTGATGAGAGAACCCATCCGTGTGGGGGTGTGACTGACCACTGACCCTGGGGACCCAATCACTGACCCTGACCTTAGAGTGCGCCCCCCCCTCAACCTTCATTGGATGGAATTATCCCCTGAAATTATTGTTCCCCAATAAAAGGCTACTCCCTGGCGTGCTCGCTCTCTCTCTCCTGCTAGCCCTGAGTAATCCTTACTGCCCTAAGGGTGGTTCGAGGTTGGAGCCAGAGAGGGGAGCCGTCTCGGACCTGGTCATAGAAAAAGGTAACTGAGTCTGTGTGTTTTATTTCGATCTCTGCTAGCTAACGTTTATGCCAAGAACCTCATTAATGAAACCAATGCGCAGGCCGCATGGTGGAGTATAAGGTTGAAGGCATAGGGGTTTAAATACTGAATAGCATCAACTACTGAATTCTACTACACAAAACAAAGTACAGATGGGATAATGAAGCCTGGGAACAAGATCTGTTTCTTCTAAGCAGGTGCTAGTAAATAAGATATTTTTCCAGCACAGGGAATGCTGGAGGAAATTTGTCCAGATGTATATGGGGCTTGGTGAAAATAGTCATTATATATTCCTTATACTATATAAGAAAAAATAAAATATCAAGATTTAGAAAGATATTAAATACTTAATTTACATAGACTTCCAAATAAAACCTTTTTAAAATTTTAATAAATTTGAGCCTTCTTCCATGTGACTTTTTAATATCAGGCTTCCTACTTGGAGTAGTTACTTTAATTCCTGATCAAGAGTTTCAATAAGGCCAGGCACAGTGACACTCACCTGTAATCCCATTGACTTTGGAGGCTAAGGCAGGAAGATTGTGAGTTCAAAGCCAGCCTCAGCAACTTAGTGAGACCCTGTCTCTAAATAAATATAAAAAAGGGCTGGGGATGTGGTTCATCATTAAGCACCCCTGGGTTCAATCCTGGTACCGAAAAAGAAAAAGAATTATAAATGACTGGGCTGGGGTTGTTGCTCAGTGTAAGAGTACTTCCTTAGTATTATGAGGTCCTGCCTGGTTCAATCCTCAGGTACTGAGCAGGTAGCAGGATTGAACTCAGGGGCACTTGACCGCTCAGTCACACCCCCAGCCCTATTTTGTATTTTATTTGCTTATATTTTATTTAGTTGCCAAGTATCTCACCACTGCTAAGGCTGGCTTTGAACTCCTGATCCTCCTGACTCAGCCTCCAGAGCTGCTGGGATTTCAGGTGTGCGCCACCATGAGTGACCCATCCCCTTTTTTTTAAACAGGCAAAGTCTAGATTTATTGAAAGCAAAGGTAGCACTCCTTAAGATAGATTGGAGAGGGGTGAGCAAGAGAGAGGCTCAAGTTCCCACTGTCTGGAAAATTAGTGTTTTATATGCTCATCTCATCATTTTTTAAAACGGTAGATTTTTTTAAAAAAAAATCCTTTTCTTAAAACAAATGTGATATTTAAATTTCCTGTGGCTTGGGGGAGTAGCTCAGTGACAGAGCACTTGCCTAGCACATGTGAGGCACCACATTAAAATAAAGGAATGATGTCCATCTACAGCTACAAAAATAAAAAATAAAAAGTAAAAGTAAATTTCCTATGGCTTGAATTCCTTAATCACATTTTTTTTTCAAATCTAGTATTTCAAATCAATAAAAACTTGCTTCATGCATACAGAAATGTTACACCAACTTCAATTCAACTCCTAAAGAATAGTGGTAAACACCACTCTTCGCTTTTGTAAAGTAATTATGAATTAAATTATTTATAAATTTGCGTTTCAAACCTGAGGTTTATTTTGAAGCCATAAACTCTGTCATAGTAGTACTATACTCATTCAGGTCTCAAAAATGTAAATTAAGAGATACTTGTGCTCAAATGTTCACTGCAGCATTATCCAGATTAGCCAAGATAAGGAAACAACCTAAGCATATGCTGATGGAAGCTATAGTTTGGGTCTTAAATGTCCTTGGAAGGCCCATGTGTTAAAGCATTGGTCCTCAAATAGGCATTATGGGAGGTTATAAAGCCTTAGGAAGGGCCTAGTGGGAAACCTTCAGATCACTGGGGATCTGGCTTTGAAAGGGATAATGGAACCCCAGGCCCTCCCTCTTCCTCTCCCACTTCCTGGCTAAGAGGTAAGCAGTTTTACTTGGCCAAAGACTCCCACAATGATGTACTGTCACAGGTCTAATGGAATAGAGCAAACCAATCAAGGACTGAAACTTTTTAAACTGTGAGCCAAAATAACTTTTTTTGTAAGTTAATCATCTCAAGAATTTGTTACAGTAATGGAAAGATGACTAACACAATGGATGAATGGGTAAAGAAATCATGGGTGTGTGTGTGTGTGTGTGTGATGGAATATCATGCATCCGTTAAAAATAACTTTTCATTTGCAACAACATGGATGAAACTTGAAGACATCATACCAAGTGAAAAAAGCCAGATAGAAACAAAACTACTTCATAATCTCATTTATATGTGGAATCTAGTATATAGTTTCCAGGTACTCTAACATACATACACACAGACAAGGTAATTAGTTGAGATGGATATGCTAATTTGCTCGACTGCAGTAATCATTTCACCAAGTATACAAAAACATCACATTGTAACCTTAAGTATACATAATTTTTTATTATTTTTTTAAAGAGAGAGGAGAGAGAGAGAGAGAGAATGAATTTTAATATTTATTTTTTAGTTTTCAGCAAACACAACATCTTTGTTTGTATGTGGTGCTGAGGATCGAACCTGGGCTGCACGCATGCCAGGCCAGCGCGCTACCACTTGAGCCACATCCCCAGCCCTACATAATTTTTTAAATGTCAACTAAATAAAACCATTGTTTTTGGTCTTTCTAAAAACATATAAAGAGAATTATTCCCATACCAACTTTTTTCTCCTATTAAGTATCTTGTTTCCTCTTGGTACAGAGGATTGAACCCAGGGCCTCATACATGCTAAGAAAGTGTTCTATCACTGAGCCACATTCCCAGCCCTGAGGAGCTTTTCATTCCTGAA